CACACTCACACACACACACACACACACACACACACACACACTCGCACATACATACATACATACACACACAAGAAAACGCTCGGGTGCGTGCTCGGCAGTATGGTCAATAAAACTTGATGCGAACTAGTTGGGCAAGCCAGAGGGGGAAAAGGGACCGATGAAATGTTAATACTCAAGGCACCACAGGTTCCTTTGTCCACGGGAAAGTCAGTTTTGTTAACCTCCAAAGAATACGTCCGGTGCACTTCCTCGAATCCTGACATTACCGGCGTATCATTAAAATTTATAACATCTGTATCGATTTAACCTCTCCCAGGTTTGTGTCAGAATTTGCGTGACATTTAGTCAAGTTCCACAAGCAAGAGCGAGTGGTTATGGGAGGGCGCCACTGGGATCGGACCTACTTCTTTACTTTCCCACCGTTGTTTCTGTCTGTCTGTCTTACTTTTTCCCTGCACAAAATTGTCATTATTGTGTCGATGGGCTTCTCTTTACTCTTTAAAACAAAACAAAAAAATCTCTTTACTCTTTAAAACAAAACAAAAACTCAGACACCAGCAAGAGCCGAACTGTCTGTGGTCTAGTGGTTAGGCTGCCAGGTTCGTAATCGATAGGTCATGGATTGGAACGACGTCAGGGGCACTTGACACTAATTTTCCTAACTTCAACTTGGTGGGAATTAGTACCTCTGGCTATTATAGACAGCGAAAGATCTTGTCAGTTTGTTAGTGTTCGAGCTGCTTGCACCACTGTATGCTGTCTGGGCAGCCGATGAGGGGTATATCATCAAATCACTCTCTCGCTTCTTATTCGCTCACGCAATCCGTCAAGTTTATGAAGTCTGCGGAATAACTCCACACCTGCAGGTAATCGTTTAGGTAGGCAGTATTGCGTCTTTATACTGAGCTGAGAGGTCGAAGCAGGTGACATTCATTACCTGAAGCCTTGGGCTGTCTTCAAACAGCATCGTTGACGGGGTTGTATAATAAGCTACGGCGGTTGAATATGAGATACGGGGCACCGGTTTTGTTGTTTTTTGTTTTTTGTTGCTGTTGTTT